ATTGAAAGAAAATTGTAGAAATTCTAAATAAATCTATAATATTTGTAAGCTTTATTATGACATAAATTTACATAATATAACTAGATATATGTTTTAATTATAATAATAAACTTATTATTTAGATGTTCCTATTTTCTTCCCCTCAATTATGTTGCATTAGCTTAGACTTTGGCTTCAAGCCACTTTTTGAAGCCAAAAGCGAACGACCGCTTATTGCCGTGACTCTGCAGCCTTTCAGATTCTCGCAAGCCCCGCCAAGCCGCAGAATTGAAAGAAATATTAATGATCGGATAGAAATACAACAGAAGTTGAGTTTAATTCTGCAAGAAAGCCACGGATTGAAGTCTCATCTTTAGCGACTGCTTGGGGCTTCGAGTTAGACAGATATAAGCCGTTAAGAGGGGAATAATATTTTAAAGAATTCTTAGTTGTTCATAGGTTGGAATTTATTACTTTATTTGCAAAACGTGAACAAAACTAATTTATTTAGAGCAAAAACATTTAGAGTTACAAAATAAATAAAACTAATTAGCAATACTTAAGGTGCCAATTTGTATTTAAACATTTATTTCACTGCAAGCTTTTGAATCTTTTGTTCGGATTAAGGTGTACGTAGCCTGTCACCTTCCAATTGTAATTTGAATAAGCCTTAATTGTAAGCCGATTGCCGGCTTCCTGTTGTACAATAATTATGAATTTGTAAATGAACCGAGACCCGGACAACCTCCTAACCCCCTTACGGGCAATATGATTGATTATAAATGCTAATTATTATTATGGCTGTGACGTACCTGCGAATGCAGTTTCCAATCTTTGTAGGCCTTCACAATGTAATCCATTTCCGTGAGTTTTCCTGTTTACGATCCAGTCGAAGCCTGCATCGAAGAACATAAGAAAATACTGAGTAAGACGACTCCACTGTCTGATAATTATTATTTTATTTGTGGTTTGTTATTGTTTTTTGTCCGCTGAATAATCAGCTGAATAAATTTCCACAATTATGAAACAAAAACCATTTTTTCTTGGTCTCTGGCTTTATTTTTTTCGGTGGCTGCAATTAAAATTTGTTGTGCAATTTCCGAGCATTTAATTTACGGGCTTTACTTTAGTCTGGGTTTTTTTTGCCTTAGTCAAGGCTGGCCCGAACCAATCTCTTGTTTTTTCCTCGTTCGTTTCTTTGTGTTTTTTTTTTTTTTGTATTTGCACTTGTTCAAATCTCCAGACTTGCCTCGTGGGTGTCTAAATTGTGGCGAGTGTGTGGGTGAGTGGGAGTGTGCGACGAGGGCGTGTGTGTCTGCGTGTCACTACAGTCGTCACTCTTCCGTAATATAAGATAAAATATTGTAAAAGTAATGAACGGAAAAAATATACTATTTAATCAAAATAATATATTCATTTAATATCTTTGATTTAATAAGAGTCAAAACAATAATACAAGATTTTATGGACGTGATATAGCTTTAAGAAACTTTATACATATTTTATTATAATTAGTTTTTGCATCTGCGACAAATGGAAAATTTGCAGTTGTGTGGCGGATTCGTGATCTTTTGTCACTTGACTTTTGTACGATTTTTATCAGAACAAAAAAATTTATTTATTTTTAAGATTTTCTTGTTATAATTGTAACTGCCTCCGTTGTGTTTACACTGACGTTGTTTGTTGTTCTTGTTGTGTCTGTGGGACAACGCCAGCTATTGTTTGTCACAATGCAAATGAACACAGAGTGTAAATATACAATTGGTGTTTTTTTTTCTTAACAGAACGGAACAGATGCCCGCTGACTTGGCTTGGTAACAAAGCTATAACCGTTTACTAATGTATAGTCGGGGATATTTGTTTTTTTTTTTCACTCAATAGCCACTTTACTTTTTCTTTTTTGTTAATTTTTTATAATATCTTTATATTATTTCTTTTTGGCACTCACACAAACACACCAAATAACCGGCGGCGACAACGCGAGCGAAGGTGAGAGAAGGGATGGAGCTCGGTTTTTCGCAGCCAACACGCTTCGGGTGGCTTTTTGGCTAAAACGGAGATACTAACTAAACTACGCAATCTGACTAAGAAGCGGTAGCGACCAACTCCGGGCAGCACTCGAAAACAAATGCTATAAAGCGACGATATGTTTATAAGCGACCACGATCTTGCCCGTTATCCATTTACCCGGTTCGTAAATTCGTTACCGGTTCGTACTGGCGTTTCGATGGGGAGCGTCGCTCTCGTACTCGAAAACAAATAAAAAAGCTTGCCGACGTCGATCGCCACAAAGCTCTCTTCCAGTGGAGCCCATTCGACTCTCTTCTTACCGCTCTTTTAGCTTAAGTTACTATGAGATACTTTAGGTGAAATTAAAGACTGGGAAATAAAACAGGTGCAATTTAACAAGCTAATTATTCGTTTTAGAATTAAAAAAATAAAATATTTATTTTCTAAAATTTCTTTAATGTGTACATACATGTATAAGTCTAGGATCCTTTATAATTATTTAATAAAGGGGCACCGGGTATCATATTGTCGAGAAATTCTGCTTTCTTCCTTGGTTTTTTCTGTGAAGTGTATGTGGACTATAAGTAATCATAAGTAAATTCATAAATAAATAGAACATGTGGGTTGGTCTTATAGTTATGTATGTTGTACATACATATATGTATGTTTAATCCTATTTACTCTTACACTAGCTTTTGTATTTGTATTCGAGTTCACATCCCCCCTGATTGTGCCTAATTCGAGTGATAATGGAGATAGTAAATACGCTGGACCAGCCAACCGAAAGATAATATTACAAGTACAGCTGGAACTCATAAGATTGAACTTAGAGGCTTATTTGTTTTTCAAATCAATGACTACTAGTAAATTAATTGAAAATATTTATTTATTTATTGAAAACAAAAAAACTTTAAAGTCATCTTTATCAGTCATCTATCAGTTGCGGTTTCAAATGATCGGTTTAATGGTCTGTCTCATCGAATTAGTTGAGGTATGACTGTACATAGACATAATCACCCCTATCTACTTACCAACTGGCGATAATCATCTAAACAGCTAGCTCTCTTTTTCTCTTTTTTTCCTATTCATTTTTACTTTTTTTGTTTATTAAATGATAAAACCAAATGACGGTGACAGGTGCTTAGCAGGTAGAATGATTCGCGCCCCACCCCTTCTTTCTGGTCTTTGTTTTTGTCAGAGTTCGTCACAAGCTTAATTAGCATGCATAAATGATAAAATCTACAATCTACAAAAGGGATTCCTTCTCTGGGATGAGCAGGGAATTTTCCAAAACCGTCATAGACGTCATCATTTGCATTGCATATTGCGGTAAAGTTCAGTGACTATTAATAGAAATCCCAAGATAGTGAGATAGCGACAACACGCCCGTATGTTGTCAAAACAAAAGTTTCATTTTGATTATTTTAGCCGAGATAACCCACGGGAAGTACTGTTATACAGGTACAAGGTAATCCATGTTAGATATATATTTTTTTCAATATTCCTTATCTATACTGGCTAAATGAAAGACTAACGATGATGCGTAAAATGTGGCACAAAATAGGTACATTCCACCTGTTGTCACAGGCTGATTAATAAAATCTTAACATTACATTTAATTTTGATTCTTGGATGGCAAGGCTATCAAGATTCAGAAATTATATTTATTTAGAAATTTTTATATATTTTAAATCAAATATAGGAATATAAACTGTGTCGCCATAATCAGCACTTCTTTGAAGGTAATTTCCATGAAAATAAAGGCGTTCCTGTTTATTAAATTCATTTATTTTATATGGCTTACCATTCTTTGCGAAATAATAACCTTTTTAAGAGCCATTCCCCAGGTGATTCAATTTCCTGCGAATAAAAGTGAAACGCCCGGCAAATGACGTTCAGTAAATCGCACGACATCCCCGGCCCCATCATCTTACCTTTCCCGCCCAGCAACAGGTTGTATTTGCTTTGTGAATCAAAAATGTGTTAATTACGCCGACACGTTCGAATCGTTGACCAAAAACTTATTTGTTTGCTTCGCGCCTTGCGAATGCACAAAGCCTTTGGGTGTCTTCCCCTAAAAATTTGGTTAATGTTTTGGGCAAAGAAGCGAATTGAACAAGTTGTTTATGTGTGTCCGCACATTATGGCTTAATTATGAAATCGCAACTAATCCGATCTACACATAACAAACGTAAGGGGCTTGCCAATTGGGTGAACTCTATTTATTTACCCTTTTGAACGGCCAACAGTTCTTATCTCTCTCGATTCTTTACTCTTTCAATTTAAATTTTCCACCATTCAGGGTTTTAAGCGGCTTGGAAAAATTTATTAACCCAAAAAAGATTCAAGGAAATCTGTTGTAATTTAAATATTTGTAGTCAAGGATTGATTGCTTCAGAGTTAGTCCAAAAAACTAATTATTAAAAGTTACTTAATTACCAAATATAGTTTTAATAATTTAAATTTAAAATTTTTCGCGGAAATGGGTGTTATAGCACTCAGCTTTATGTACCTTCTAAAGAGTTATATTCCGAAAATTAGATTTTACGATGTTAGGGTCGAATAGTTTATAAGCCTACATTAATTAAACAACAACAGCATTTAAACCATAGTTTTAACTTTATAAAAATATTTATTTTTACAGATTAAAAAAGAAATAGTAATAATTGTACTTGTCGCGTATAGCATCCGACTGGAACATCGGAAACTGGAACATTGGCGGCTTATTCAAATACTTTATTGTTACTTATGTAAAATGTTATGAGTAATTAATAAAAAGTTCGGAAGATTGAGCGTAAATGGCTTGTTTTCTCATCTTAAAATGAACATCCATTTATTTTTTTTTTAATATCCTTCTCAAGAATTCAAGGTCGCAATCGTTATCCAACACTGTTTTAATTTTTCCATCGATGAATTTTATCGACGCTCCGATGTTTTCGTTTATATTTTCCCATCTCTCCCAGAAGTAAAACAAATTCTGGAAAATTGTTAATTTTGTATTAAAAATAATTACTAGGCAGTAAATTATAATAAAAAAGCACGACTATGGCCAATGTAGAGTCTATGATTGTAGAGGATAAGACGCAGGTCAAGCAGATAGACCGCGAGAAGGTTTGTAGGCCGGTCCGCTGTGAGCTCTCATTTTTCTAATATTTTTTTCCCGGCTTCTAATTTTTCAGACTTGCCCTCTTTTGCTTCGTGTGTTCTGTTCTACCGGACGACACCACTCCGTCTCAGAGTACATGTTCGGAAATGTACCCACCAACGAACTCCAGATCTACACCTGGCAGGATGCTACGCTTCACGAATTGACCTCCCTGGTGCGTGACGTTAATCCGGATACTCGGAAGAAAGGAACCTACTTCGACTTTGCGATCGTCTACCCCAACTTCCGGAACCAGCATTTCTTAATGCGCGAGATCGGAGTGACGTGCACGGGCCAAAAGGGAATCGACGATAACAAGACCCTGGCTCAGGCCAAATTCAGCATCGGCGACTTTTTGGACATCTCGATTACGCCACCTAACCGACTGCCGCCCACCAACAGGCGTCAGAGGCCTTACTAATGCCAATGTACGAACTAATCATTTAATCTGTCACTTGACACTCAATGAAGTATGAACATAATTATAAGTGGAATACAAATAAGACGATCTACGAGCTGTTTGACTTAAGGGACTACTGCTGCTGCTCCTGCTGGGACTATCAGTTCCTGTAGATGCTGTTTGGGCGCTTCGACTTCTTCTTGCCCAATTGCGTCATGTCGATCTCCAGACCATTAGGAAGAACGGCGCGGTTCTCCTCGTAGTTAATGAAACCATTCTCCTGCAGCTCCTCCTCGTTGTCCCGGGCGTTGGGATCGCATTTAATACCAGTTTCGTAGTTGTATTCACGTTTGTTGCCATCTGGATCGATGTATCCATATGTGCCCCTAGTAAATTGGTTGTAAAGCACTCGTTAGCGTGAAAAGTAATATATTATGTTTTACACTTACTTGGTGATGCAGTCAGTGCCTATGATTTCCTCCTTGAAGGAGCCATCGTCGTTCTCATAGCCCCACGTAATGCTACCGTCCTCGTTTTCTTCCCGCCATTTGCGAATGGTCTGGGCCACTGGACGTCGTGGGCGCTGTTGCTGCTGCTCCCGCTCCTCTTGCAGTTGATTCTGGTCAATGAGTGGCCGGGATGGAACGGGCTTAGGGCGTGGTCTGGGCGCTGGCTGTGGTGCTGGAGGCTCTGGTCTCAAAGCAGGAGCAGATGGTCTGGTTCGGATCACAGCCACCCGCTGGGGCTGTGGTGGTGGAGGTGGTGGGGGAGGCGCTGCTGCTGTGGGCGTGGGTCTCTCCAAACCGAATCTTTGCGAGTTCTCGAATCGTCCGATGCCGAAATCGTTGAAGGAAGAGGGCCTGTTTGGTGGCGCCGGGATCGATGGACGTTCAGCTGCAAAGCGGGAAGGAGGAGGCAGGATGGCCGCTGGCTGGGAATCCTCGTTTTGGAGGTATTGCTGTACTGGCGATGGTTGTTCGATGGGCTGCTGGCCAGCCAAGAAAGCGGCTGCTGCCTGCTGGAACTGAGACTGCTGGGCCTGGGCCAGCTGCTGCTCCCGGAGGAGGTTAGGAAGATATGGCTCGGGGGCTTCATCCTCCTCCGCCTCCGTCACAGGACGGGGCTCTTCAATAGCAATACGTTGCGTCACCGGAGGAGAATGGAGAATGGCATTCTGCTGACGGACAGAAGGACCAGGACGACGCACGCGAAGCACTGGCTGACGGTGGGGTAGTGACGGACCTGGCGATGCCACGGCACCGGGAATACTTAGGCGCTGCGGGTAGTTCTGGGCCTCGGCCAAAGCGAGGGCGCCACATACGAGCTAAAACCGTAATGGAAATTGTAATAAAATTAGGTATAGGTCTTTAGGAAATCTTTAAAAGGAGGTCGTTATGTCTAAACTTTGGCAGCAACACGCCACACTTTAGCAATTTGCCATTACCAGGTGTCTTGTCTTCGGCCATACCTGTCTTAATTAGCTGGCACACATATAAATAGTGGACTTATATAGACGTAGATTAAGTTTTTGGCTTGTTACTGCAACGGTTTCTTAGAATTATCATGAAACTTTACGGTAAATTTCTAAGCCAACTTTTGGTCAAATTTTACATTTTTATGAGATGGTAAATGAAATTATCTTTATAATAAAGATCCATTTCTTATAATACATATTATACAAAAATATTAATCTTTATTTGACCACTGGTAGCCTAAATTTTTGGTGGCACATCTTGAGGCGCGAAGTAAGTGCCACACACCTTTGTAAACTGGTTTAAAATTTATCAATTGCTTATATATAAACACATATAGGTATATCCAAGTAACAATTTGTAATTGTGGCAGTGCGGTGGCGGCACAACTGCCTCGGCAACAACTGCCAACAAATACTGTAATAGCTGTAGATGTGGAACATAAAACAAATCGCGATATCTGCCCCACCTCGCTGCCGATCGATCATAAAAGCCAGGCCAAGAGCCCAAGCCAAAACCGAGACCAAAAACAGAAGGAGAAAAAAACGAAAACATTTCAGACTTGCCGTCTGGGTTGCGCAATTTGCATGGCCAAAGTTATGCGGCATGTGGCATGTGGCACAACACCCTGGCCAAAAGTTTCCGGTTCGCAAAAGAAGTCAAAGTCTAGGACAAGTGACCAATCGGGTAGTTGGATTGTTTCAACTTTTAATTAGTCTTCATTAGCAGTTACACAAGTACCCCAGCTCCAATTGGGGGTACTGAAGGGGAGCCCGGCTTCTGGCTTTCGGTTTCAGTTTCGATCTTAAGTCAGATCGAATTACTTTGGCCCACTTTTAACCGGTGATCTTGTATAAAAGAATTATGAGTTGGGGGTGAGTACGGAATTATGGCTTAGAAGAAAAGAGTTCTTGAAATTTGAGCTAGGAATTTGCAATTTTTAAGCTTATTATAGCACACTTTTTGAGAGGCTGTTGTTTCTTATGATATTTTATTACCCTATCTGTTTTCTAAAATAAATAATAGTATGTCCCACCTGGTAGTTTTTATTTAATAATTCAATTGTTGAAAAGTGGACAACTATGGCTTATAATCAATCGATTCATTGAAGCCTTTGGCTTCGGCTTATGCTGATTTTGTTATGCATGCAACACTTTTTTTCTCCACTTCGGTTTTTACTATTATTATCCATTACATTCCTGTAACTTAGCCAGTGGCTTGGTCTTTTTCAGTTGTTTGTTTTTGTGCGAGACCATTCAAGCCAAACATTCCAGTGGCTTGGCTGGCTGCCCAACTACCTGGTCAAGTGAACTACTTGGCTTTAAAATTAATGAAAAGCCGTGCGCTAGAGAGGCCAATAATAAAGCAAGGCCTGGCAGACACTTGCAGCACTTTTTTTGTGCATTTTTCAGGCCGGGGAACTTGATTTGATTTAATTGCTTTTATGACTCCGCCTCGGTTCAAGGAAACTGAAAATATGAGTCGAAAAATTCGAAGACATTTGTAATGGCATGGGGTGCCAATCCCAGAAACAGCGCCAATCCCAGCTGGATGGATTGGAGCTTCACGCCCACGAGTACCTTTGATTGGAGAATCATCATCTCCGAAGTGGCAACAAAAGATGTTTTTGCGATGGTCGGGTCATTAGTTACAATAACCTGGCTAAGGACTTCTGGCTGAGGCCTGGCCTTGACTGGCCATTGACCGAATGAAATCGAAAACATTTACTTTTATCCCAGGTGCCCAGACCAGGCACTCGCATTTTTCCGCGCTGGCCAGACTCGTTGAGCTGGAATAGTTGTCAGTGCACTTTCGAGCCGGCTTGGCTCTCAGATATATGTAACACTTTGGGCCTGTGCATATAGCCTTATTTATGTAGGCATATACCCGTTCATATTACGTAATCCCCAGCACACAACGCCCAACTGCGTTGCGGAGTGGGCATGTATCTGAATCTGGATCTGAATTTGTATCTGCTGCACTGCATCTGCAATGTGAACCGAGTGAGTGCGTGTCGAGAATATGCATCGAAGGCGCTGCCTTGGGTGCGTTTTATGAATCCCCATAACTAGTTATACTTAGTTGTTATGTGCGACCTTGATACATATTTTTTGTTTTGAATCGACGAAGCCCGCACAATAAGGTTTCGTGACAAACTTCGTTCGGACAATACGCTCCCAAAAATTGCCGGCAAATTGGGTGTTTCTTGTCATTAACAATTCATTTTCTGGTCCGACTTTTGGCAAACTCATTAGGCCATGTCCATAATTTGGCCAAGCCACAAGTCAATCAATCAAGCAATCAGAGGCATGAAAATCTTGTTAGATCCGCTGATTTATGGGGGTTTCGAGATATATTTTGACGGGGAAATCATAGAAGTGTTGGGCTAAAATATCTAATAATTGAATTTGAAATTATGAAATTGCTAATAAATTTTTTTTTAAATAAGATATGAATAAAATGCTATTCAAGGTTTTTTAAGATTTATCTTTAAAGCCAGTTTTCTTATAGTTATATATTAAATTAAACTATTTCCTTCGTAAATCTTAAAAATGTTTTCTTTAAAAGGAATAACTTGTTTTGGAGGATATATTACTGAAAACTAGTTTGACAGATTATTGGGGATTTTCGTAATTGCATTGCAATTTTTTAAATTTATTTACACCGCAATGGTCTATTTATCAAATTGGCACAGTAGCGAATTCCATTGATAATCTTTTGTCTGAAATACAAATTGAACTCGAGTCGATTTTGGGACCACAAAAAATAGGCTATAGGGCGGAGCTGGGCTCAAAGCCAACAAACGCTCGTTAAAATATCTGACCCGAGGGCTTGGTTGGGTAATTCCTCAAACGGAATTCTTTGGTTAAAACAAGTACAAAACAATTGCTGGGCGATTGTATCGCATATTTATGATGTGATCTTTATGATGGCAAATGAAATGTCAATTGGCCAACATTAATTGCTAATTGCGTTGCATTGAGGCACAGAAACACTCAGGTACTTTCTATTAAATGCAAATACAAATAGCCAATGTCTCAATCTGAGATTGAGTCTTAAGCTGGCAACCAAACGACCTTGGTAGTTGCATATATTTTTTAGATTCACATGACCGAGAACACGGTAACCATATCAGGTAACTCCTTTGATCTTCGTCACCCACTTACCGCAATTAATTGGAGTTTCATAATGAAGTCGTGCTGTTGTATTTCTTCTCTGATCCCCAGGCTATTGTTACACTTCCGGAATGTAGATTCAAATCACTCTCTATAACTGGCGGGAGAATAGTCCTGGCCTGCTTTTGGCCAACCGTTGAACGCTCAAATGCTGGGCCCGCCAGGTGCGCAGGCGGCTTTATAGCCAGCTACGATCGCCATTCGAAGCTTTGGCTTCGAAGGCGCGGAAAATTTATGTGAGGCGTGTGTGTTTGGCATGGCTAGGCCATGCAATGAATTCCCCAGACGAAAGTGGAGCGCATCTCTCGATGAAGTAACGAAAGTGACAGGCATCGCTGCTTTTTGCACTCATTTGTGGACATGAGAATGGATTTGCATCGATCAGCGCCGGGTACGTGATTTAGTTTTAAATTACTTTTACTGCTGTCAGTAGTCTGTTCAAAAACACACAAACTCTGGCAACGCTAGAGTCAAGCTCGCAGGCAAGCTTAATCTGAAACTAAATAGCCAACACAGCGTATGCGTGATGGTTGTTGTCCATGCTAGCCGGTTTATGGAGAGTTAGCAAAGTTTCCTTCCAGCAGCAGCCATCTTTTTATAGCATGGTTTTATAGAAGAATTGAAAAATCTTCAAAATTTTTTTTATTCAGTAATTTTATTTCTAAAATAAAAACCATACTGTTTTGCATAGATTGAAAAATGTTTTTTATGCGAGAAAATTATAAATAAAATAAATTCATAGTTTATGGTAGAATGAGAAAAACGTTTGGGTCGGGCTTAGTTAGTCCTTAGAGTCCCCATAAGTAGGTCCAATATATGTATATCACAGTTCGGCATATCCTGTCACGGTAGTAGTTCCTGTTTAAATTCCAAAATCCAGCTTCGAAGATCCCTCTTATTCGACATCCTTCATGAGACTAATAGCAACAGCACCCACCAGACCACAAACACCCATAATATTCAAGGGAAGCAAGGCATCAATGTGCTCCTGGAAGAGATAGAATCGGGTTAAATGGGAGATAATAGGGTAAAGGTAACAGGTTACTCACCAATTGCCAAAGGAAGGGCACTAGGATGAGGGCTATTCCCGAGGCTAGATTTCCCAAGCCCACGCCAAAGTTCCGAACGATAGTGGGATATTGCATTGCCGTGTAGGTTGGAATAATGGCATTGTTGGCTCCAATCAGGCATTTGGCTGGAAGAGATTGCTTAGATTTCTGATTTTATACTTTTTGTATCATTTCTTACCAATAGTGGCCAGAGCAATCACTCCCGTCTGATCCTTCACCAAATTCGTACCCAAACAGCAGAGACCCGGCAGTAACATGTATCCGATGAGACTCTTCCGGATGCCGAATTTCAGGACCACAACGATGCTGATGCAGATGGACACTGCCTCAACGGTTCCTGCTACGGCACTGTTGATGTATATGTTGCCACCCAAATTGCTCAAGTGCAGGGTGAGCCCGAAGTAGATAATGATTAGGGTGAGCCAAATAACCAAGGTCAGGCAGGTGGTGCGCCAATATTTGGCACTAAACACCACCCTAAGGGGGTTCACATGGCTGGGGGAGTCGGCACCCTCCTCTCCTCCGGGAACTGCGGTCTTGGCCTCTTCCCCAGCTTGCTCAGGATTGGGAGAGGTTACCGCTCGGGGCACGGCTGCCTCCAGCGTCTTGCGATAGTTGTGGGGAAGGCTTCCGGTGGTGCCGTTCATCCGGGCTGCTCGCTCAATTAGAAGGCACAACTCATCCAGACGGCCCTGAGCCAGAAGCCAGCGGGGCGATTCGGGAAGCCAGAACCTGCAATGGATGGAGAATACAAACTTAAGAAAAGGATACAGGGAATCACTGTCATGTGGGGAGTATTTATTGGCTGGCTGGAATTTTTTCATTTGATTTCAAAAGCGGTCAGCTAATGTGCAGCTTTCACTCGAAGGGATAAACACTGAGGAATGTCCTGGCCAGGGGTTTCTTTGTCCCTGCTGGAATCTAATTGATCCCCACGCATTGTGTTGTGCTCGGTTTCCTGTTGTCGATTCATTTAGTTGACTGACTGCTAAAAATGTAACAGCTTTGAAGTTTTCAAGACAAGGACATCCTTTGAATAAAACAAATAGGATTCTAGTCTAATACTTGTGGCCTTTCCAACTCCTGTTTAAATCTCTTGCAAGACTTAAATAAAATAAAAGTAACCAAAACTCACCAAATACTGAGCATTATAAGCCACGGCCAGGAGATGGCCAGCTGGAGGTGACGCCAGTCGCGGATAAGGTACGCCAGACCGGCGGATAGGACGTAGGAGATGGCCACGGGCAGAATGTTGAGGATGCCGATTACGGTGCGCCACTTGCCGGAGACCAGCTCCACAACCAGCACGAAACTCACAACAGTCACGGTCATTGATGCGAATCCAATTATAACACGTAGCGACATGAACATGGCCACCGATGTTGAGAAGGCCAAAATTCCACCTGCAACATGGAGAGAGAGGAGGTAGCATGAGAAGGGTGCAGCACAGGGCGCCAAAGGGGGAGGGAATGTCAGTGGCAAGGTCGGCACGTAAATAAGAGTGTAAAGTCAATTAAAATCCCGACCATGCCACAGAGCAGGACAAATGCAAATGCAGCTGTTCACGGACAAAGCTGAATATAAATGACAATTAGAAAAGGGAAATTGGCTTGGTTAAAAGGGCTTTTAACCTGGCCATTTTCAAAATCTCCACGCCTATGCGTTAAATCTTTGCGTTAACTTTATTTTCCGGCTATAAGTTGTCTGCCTATGTGTAATAATTATTATTCATAAAAATACAGCAACGTTTTGAGTGCAATACCTAACAATTAAGGCTTTTGACCTTATACTCTTTTTGCGCACATGGCGTATACGCAATATTTAAATCTTTACACTTGAGGCTTATCTGAGATTTTTATCAAAATTGTTTTGTTGAATGAATACGATTTCTTGAGAACTCATCTTGAACCTCAAGGAAATATTTATTTACAAATAAATAAATCCAAACTCACCGAAAACACTCTGGATTGTGACAAACGCCATAAGAGTGTGTCTTCTGCCAAAACGATCGGAGATCCATCCACTAAGAACTGCACCGGCAGCGGCACCCACCAGGAAGCACGTCTCCACCAGGCTGAGGATGTTCCTTTCGCAAACCAACTCGAATTCCTGCACCAGGGTTTTGGCACTTCCATCCTCGTCGGAGAACTCAAAGTGTTGACACTTTCGGTAACCAAAATTACTCGCATTTGCTGGCCAATTTATCAGTTGGTTGTTCTCGTAGGATACTTGTTCATAATCCAGATCTAGAATATTACATCCATTGGGGGTTTGGCTCAGATTGCGCCATTCGGGAATGCTCATGTGACTTAGATTGTCAGGTCTGGCACACCAAAAGTCCTTTGATGCAGTCTGTATTTGAAAATAATAATAAAAATAATTGGAATATTATTAAAGAGGTATATCTAAGACTTTGAATTGCTTGAATCATAAATAAACGACCTGATAATCCAAATAAAACTTCCAAAATTATTTTCCCAGAATTTCGATATCTGGTTCTCATAGGAATATCAAAATTTTGTTACCTTTCAGCATTCACTTCACGCTTGGAGTTACGTGAACTCCATAAGATATTAGCTCTTTTGGAATGTTTGAATGTGAAGTTATAAGGCTTGTGGATCTACTGTAATCCAGCGGAAACATTTTCCAGACTCACTTTAAATCGGTAGTAAATTCGTTTAAATATCTTCCGCGTGTTAATTGCGATTTGCTTGTAGTTAGTGTGTGTTTTTTTTCACGCTACCCCATTTGTCATTTGAGTGGTGATTGCAAATGTTTCGTGTCAGGGGAACATGGTCGGGAAAAAGCGTTTAAATTACTGAATGTTGTTACAAACACGAACAGAAAAGTGCGGCCGACTGATTGATGATCGAATCAATGAAATCGGCAGCTTATCAGTCGGCGGCGGGGAAAAGGTTGTTCACCATCGGCCCATCGGACGGCAATCGGCTACCGACAAGATACTATACAAAATACTATACAACAGGTTGAAAGCCAACCCGAACGTGGCTCAATTAAACATTTAGCAGGCGTTGCGAGGAAATGGTTTCAAGTTAAAGTTAACGCAAAGGTGTAACAGAAATGCGAAACATTTTCAATAATTAATGGCCGTAAAAGCGAAACACTTTCGAGGGTTTCCTTCGGGCTTCCCCCGGGCTTTCGACCTGATCGCGTGGCAGGTTGTGATGTCATTTGCGGCCGCCGTGGCAGTCACCATGTTCACTCCGCTGGTGTCACTCTCCTGGGTCGGTTACATGTCACGTTTCAGGCATTTGCATAGCGAAACACAGCCCGCCACTCGACTCTCGACTCGCCACCAACAATGGAATTTTTGTAGACACGGCGTGGGCAGTTCTAGACTCCATCGAGTAGATAAATTTTCGTTTGATAAATTGGTTTGCACGACATACGCCATCCAGCTGCACCTGGGACTGCACTTTAATCTAATGACTCTCAGGCACACTGCTCTAGGGAGCTCCATTCGGATTCAACACTCTTTAGACTTTAATGACTCTTCAAGTGACAATTACTTCTAATCCAATATTGGTTACAGTTTAGTGGTAAGGGGATTTACCAGGTCAAGCACCCTTAAATATCCTCTATGTTTACACAATGGATATAGGCAGCAAATTTTCCAACTAACGGCCATTGTTAATGCCAATAGATGAAAGATTGTCTTGCAAGTTATAATGACATAATGACACATCCGCAATTGATGGGTTCGGCAATATGTTTTAATTTGCATTCAATTGAATCTATTATCGAGTTAACGTCAGTTAGGAAACTGGAGTTGTCATGACGTTATTACAAGTCTTTAAGGAAATGGAAAGTTTGTAAAAGATATGATCATTTTCCATTAAAGTGTCAATTTTTTTGTCTAATCTTCAGATTAGGTTGACAATTGTTGAAACAATAGATGGCCTTTTTCTAAGAAATGTGTTAAATATTTATTTCTTTTAAGGAAGTCCCCTAATAGTCAAATTATATATCATTTCTATTGCATTTAGTTCCTATTTTCAGATAATTATAATCATTTCTCTCATGAAATTTAATTACAATCCTCAAATACAATTAAATAATTGGTATTTCCCGTTAAAAAGTCCCTCAAAAAGTATGAAATTGTAAACCTATTTGAAAAATTTCCGATTAAATATAGCACAACGTCTATTTTGTAGAGGTGATGAGGTTGATCATGGGTGGTCGTTAACTTAATTGTTACAGGGTCAGATCTGGACTTTAGGCACGAGAGTATTTAAATTGTGATTTCGAATCTCGCAATCGATTTTAGTTTTGTTCCAGATCGGAGACCAGTGTGCCGGCTCTTAAATGTGTTTCTGCGGATTTTATTATTATTGTTTAATTAATATATTTAGACAGTTAGCGGTCAATACCAGCCTCTGGCATGAGAGTAACCTTTCCGACAGAGTAACCTTGGTACGGCTAAAAACCCAAAGCAGACCGCCGGTGGTGTCTACCACCTGATATGGATCAGTTGGGAGTGGAACTAATTGAAAAGTCTTGCAGGCACGCTGGGAAATCGTGCTTCTGAGGTGTTCAATCCATAATGCTGTCATCCTCAAAATGTGTACAAAACATGCAATTTGCAGATTGCAGATTGCAGCCAATTAAGATAAGGTAATCCAACACAAATAAACTGTCTGTTGCTCTCAATCAAATGCAAATATAACCAAAAATCGAATATGCAAACGGGTTTAGCCTTAAGCCTGTTCAAATGTGTTATTACTCCACACACAATTAACGTGTGTCAATATTAAAGCCAAAAGTTGAACAATTAAAGCCAAAGATTGTGTGGTGTTATTGTTGATGAGTTTGGTCTTAGTCAGTCTATCATTTCAATGTGTTTTATATTGGCAAATAAATTGATTAGAAGGAACTATGCAAGTTTCAAAGAACTGCTAAGGGTGTGAATTGAATTGCACACATTTTTCAATAAAAAGTCTCCCATTCAATAAGCTTGATTTGTATACATTTTCTTTAAAGTTCTGTATCATTATCATATTTATTAGACTATCTAAGCGCCTTTACAGATTACGCACGTTTTTTGCAATTTATTTGATGACCCAGAGTTCAATAAACATATTAATTAAAATGCAATCAAATCAGATACTCTCGCTCAATGAAACTTTATCTTTCGCAGATTAGCAAGTAGCTTGGCATTGTATTATTTATATATACGAGAACACAAGTATTTATAAATATAATATATGGAGCAAACAATCTCGCGCACGAGCAACAGGTTTGAAATCTACTTGAACGTGTTATCAGTTTAGACGACGCCTTTGATAACTGGCATTGTAGGAGGTTGGTTGGTGGGTGGGTGGTTGTAGAGAACCTTGTCATTTGTGGTTGAAGTCGTCGTAAAATGTCTAAGCATTGGCCAAACAAAAAATCACTGACTTGCCAGTGCCTCTATTGGCACATGTGTCTTGGGCGATGGAGCGCAACGGTGGCTTGCAATCGCCATGGCAGGTGGGCAGGTGGGGGCTTAAGGCCGGGCGGGCACTCAACCCATACTCACCTGGAACACATAGACGAATATGTGGAAGGTGCAGATGGCCTGGAAGATGGACAGGAGCGCGCACCAGAAGCCCTGCCAGGGAGTCAGGCAGCCAAAGAGCTGCTCCAGCAGTTTTGTGTGCAAATGTTCGATCCCCTCGAGATCTTGGGCTGCCAGCATGGGCGTGGCCTCACCCGCAGATCTTAGCTCCATTGGCTCAGACATTTTGGACCGCTCCAAAATTGCAACCGATTACGCCTTGCGATGCAAGTCAACTGAATTAGAATGTCGGCTTTCAAAAAGTATATTACTTGAGATTCAAATTCGGCTTAAATGCAAGTTTCGGCAGGTTTCGAGAGCCGAGAATGCGTGATGCGAGAATATCTCAATTATATTTTATTAAAATGTTTTTTTTTAGCAGGCGCGGCGGTATTTCAGATTTTCGAGGGGTCCACGAGATAGTATAGTGCCAAAACACACCGCGATCTAACGATAGCCAAACGATGTACTTGTTAACTTGGTCTTAACACACTGGCGGTTGATTCATTAAGAAGTGATGACTCTATAACTCTGTACCAACGACCTTTGGGGAAGTGCCTTGACCAAATTCGTTGGCAAGGCCGATGATGCACTCTCCCCGACACTTTCAGTTCATTTGGGGTCTCTTTCCGTGTAGATATCTTTATATAAACGGGATACCTTTAGTTTGGGGCGGCACAATCTTATCAAGGTTTGATTGGGTCATGTAAATGTATTGCATTTAATGAAATCGTCTGATTTCATTTTGGCACTACAGTAGTTTTTCTAGCTATCAAGAAAAAGTCAATTAAAATACTGTCATGTTGAAGTTATCACAACTTTTATAGTGATAGGAGAATTTAAAAATACTATCTAGGCTCTTAGATTCTGATTGTCATTTCTTTTGGAAAAAAAAACTTTTAAAAAAGTAAAGACTAAAATGAATGAAAGCTTACAAATACCAATACCTCGTAGATAAAAATGGATTTTATACAGGACATTATATAAAAAAAAAATGTATTTAACCTTAAGTGGATAGGAATTAAAATAATATGAAGGAGACATCGATCATATGCGAATTCATATTAAAGTAGGTTTAATTAATATAGTTTTTACCAAACTCTAAACAATTTATGCACGATATATTATATTGCAAAACAATCCATTAAAGATACACAATTTCTTGATACATAATTTGATGATCCAACACTTCCTCCTTATTACATCACTTGCCGAGATTAGCCAAGACCTATTGCAGCATATATCCCCTAATTTGTTGGTTCTCGATTGGTATAATTAACCTTTGCAAAATAAGTGTGCTGGCTAGACTAACTTCTTGGCTAATGGGCTGGTTTGTTGCAACCAGCCATGGGTTCTTGCCAAGCTCTATTAGCCACCGATCGTGTGTGTCAAGGTCGTATGTGGTTTTTTGTTTGCATCCGCTGCCCTCTTCAGTTTGGGGCGAAAGAGGGCCTTTTCGCGGGACATTGGCACGCTATTGCTATTACCTCAGTAGTCAAATGATGCACACGCAACAGAGTATCCGTCAGATACTTGGCTGACGATAAATGGCGCCTAAGTACCTGTGACAGCCTCCCTGAAAGTTGGTCAAAGGTGTGTGAAGGTCGAGTATCGCCACCAATTATTCACTCGCCAAGTAGCCAACCAAATTATACCCAAAATTGGCATTTGATTTGATTTGCGTTTTTTCCATGGAACTGAAGTGCCTGCTCTCCACAATTCGTTATCAATTGTTATTGTTTTCGATTCGGATGTTATTTGGCCATAACAGACCGTTACTCATTTGTTGCCACTTTGATAATATTTTGTAGTAACTATAGCTCTCATTTTACTCACAGTGAAAATAAATACATATTTTTTGTGCTTTCGAAGACGTCTATTTTGGAAACCGAACCAATTAGCCGTCTATTATTAGCGAAAATCACTCAAAAATCACTAGAGCTATCAATCAATCAATTGCACAATATTTTCCTACGCCCTTTCATATCCGGGGGCTAAGTTATTGTGGGTGATGGGCGGTGGGTGGCTACACAGTCACCTTAACCAAAATATTTGGGTCTGATGTTTTCGGCGACGCAATCAACTGGGCAAATATTTGCCTAGCCATAAAACCGAAACTCACCTGAAACACAAACATAAACAGGTGAAAAGTAGTGGGCAGCTGGAACAGGCAGAGGAGCAGGGTCCACAGGAAGCTCCAGCGGGTGTAGTGTCCCAGGAAGTTGGATATCACATCACTATCAACGTCCTGGCTGAGATCCCGAGCGGGGGGATCCCCACTGTGCAGTTCTTTGTTGTTGGAAACCTCATCCGTTGAGGGTTTCTTCAAGTCTTCGGAGTAGCGGCGGAAGTCCAGGGCTATTACACTGATTTCCGGGGTTTTCGGACCCGGCCTCGTCTCGCGATATCCACCGTACAGGTTGGCCTCGAGGCTGCCCCTGTTGCTGCCCCGGCAGTCGAAGCTCAGGGAACCGCGACGCAGCACGCCACTCATGTTGAACCGTAGGAGTTGCGTATCCAATGATTTCCCCAAGTGTACCCAATTTTTATTCAGCTCCCTTCGATTGGATCGATTGGCAATTAAAGAAAATGGAAACGCGTCGATCTCCGATGTCGGCGGTGATCTGGAACCGTTAAATGTGTTGCGGCTCTGTTATAAGCACCTGTAGCGCCTTCAGCTCTGCAAAAGAGCGAAAGCTAAATATATATATTCTCAGACATTGCCAGATCGGCAGAAAAGCTTCGATGCTCAGACTACCCCATGATCACTTCGCTTGCCGTAGTCCCCCACGGAGCTTTGGCTCCACTTGAGCGAGTTACTACCTTTTGGCGCCAACAATTAATTCAAAAACTCGATCAAATTATTTATTTATATATTTTATTTTGACACTATAATTGCATTTGCTTTGGTAATTTTGATTTACAACAATTTTCGTAAACTTACTCAAATATATTTCCAGTGATCTCTAGTCCAACTTAACAAATAATTTCACTTTAGATTCGGGCATTACATTTATTGTGAAGCCTAAAAAATCTCTTAATCATAACGAATACATAACGAAGCTGATCTGATCTTAACAGGTAAGTACAGTGGGCAACGAAAGTTAAATATAACATAAAATAGATGAAATAAAATAATGACAAATAATACAAAATACAAAAGGGGACAAAAACAATGTGGGTTGGTAAGTACAACAAGTAATTCAACAGTTTTGTGTGTGTTTTTCTAATTGATTGTTATTAATATTTTTACTACAATACATATACAAACGCACACATATCCATATACACATAATTGTATACATTGTTAAATGCATTATATTGGAAATTTATCTTGTTTCATTTCATATACATATATATTTATATATATTTATAGTATCCTTTGACTTTGATGACTCTAAGCGATAAAACTCTGGTTTCATTTTCATGCCATACATATGTATATACAAATCCATAATTGACCGATTCTTAGTGACTGATCTCATGTTGTACATATATACGGTTCGGGGAGACTAAGGATTAATTGACTACGATTACTAGAGATTACAATTTTCAACCGCCTGCATCTGAGTCTGGAAGATTTGGGCTTCTTATATTTGCTTCTTATGGATCTCGTAATTGGAAAACATTTATTAATAGACAACAAGAAGACGACAACGACAACGACGAGATTATGTGTGTACGCTGAGATATTGACAAGACATATTGACAAGATTATAATTTGTATTTTTTGTTCGGTCTGTTTGTGTATCAGAGAGTATAGCTCTCTTTTCAGGGTTCCATTTTTTTCAATTTTCTAGACATTAATTTCCTTCAATAAAAGCGATAAAAGTATTTAACAAATCTGCGTAACAACTTGCCGAAAACAATAAAATTGGCCAAATATATCTTATTAAAATATTTATGACAATAAAAAAAATTGCATAGTATTTAAAAGAAATTCTGATTGAAAAAATAATAAATTACAGTTTACTTCACTTTCAATTATTCTTAAATATCCTTGAACTTCGATGAGAACCGAAGGATTAAAGTGTGTGGAGGTTAGTGTGTGTTGCGTGTTCTCAGTACTTAGACTACGACGTAAGCTACAAGCCATTTTTGTTAGTTAATTGTTAAGATACATACTCACTACGTGCTACGCAAAAAAGGTCCTGCCTGACATGTGACATTCTCTAGCGAATTGGCATTAATCTGGGACATTCGAGATCCCATCGATTACCGTAAGTTTTCAGGTGGCTTCAGGTGGTGGATATGTCGGAGGGGCGTGGCAGGTTGAATGGTTGGTTAAGGGTTAAGGGTCAAGGTGGAGCAGAGGCAGCGGTTCTACGACTTCACATCGGCATACTTTGGACCAGCCAAAATACTTTGTTCATTTCGGGAGTTCAAGGGGTCAGCAGCAGCGGTCATTACACCTGCTTGGCAGCACTGGCATTCGGATGGGGAGCCGACCCCTGGCCCGGGGACGAGTTGCTGGCCTTTGAACGCACGGCGGTCTCGGGCAGGAAGAGCACCACAACGCCGCCAAAGATGCTCCAGGCGGTCAGCAGGGTCATCAGCAAGTGGTCCTCAATCTTGTTCTGAATAAAAAAATATTAAAGTTAATCCTTATTAATAAAATCCTTTGAAAGGTCCTTACCAGCAGCGAAAGGTAAGGTGTAAGGATAAGTGCCAGTCCTGCGGCCACGTTGCAGGCACCCACGCCCACATTGCGAATGGGTGTCGGATAGAGCTCCGCCGTGTACACCGGCATAATGGTGTTGCCCGCACTGATGGTGAACTTGCCCATCATCAGGAATGTGATCTTTAGCCAGAGCAGGTCCGCCCGTCCCTCGGTGATCGCCGCACAGCAGCAGGCGACGCCGGCACAGATCAAAGTGGCGCAGAAGAGCCACTTCTTGCCCACTTTGGTGATGATGTACATGGCCAGGGCGATGGCGGGTATTTCGACTAGGCCAGCTAGAGCCTGCGGAGGAAGCAGAGGGGAGAACAGAGGGGGTTGAACAAGATGTCAACTGTCGGCGGGGCGCATTAAATCAGGGCGGCATCAAAGGTGCGCCTCGGCGTTGTCAAAATAAATTATGCAATAAATTAGCTAAAAAGCTGCCTGGTCTGCCCATTGTCGGTTTTTGGCCAGAGATGAGAAAGTGGTGAGAAAGGTAAGGTAATACCGGGTATTATAAAGTCGATAAACTCTACAACAACTCTTTAAAGTTCAAACACAACTCCTACCACTTAAAATAAAATAATTAAATACTTTAATACAATACAGGAATGTAAATAATATTAATGGTAATACTAAGAGTAGTAGTACAAACTACAGGTTATCATTTAAAAACTCTTCATAGTCATCGTCTCTATTTGCAAATCCATAACTACTCATGCAGATTAAATTCTATAAATTCCAGTAAGTTAATATAAAACACTTTTAATTACTTTATCTAGCTTTATAGCCTAAATATCCCACACAGCTATTAAAGTACACTTGCACCAAATACCCATGAAATGGGAGCAGACCCCATTAAGCGTTCTGACACTTTAAAACAATCAAATCCCGTACAAATGCCAAACATGTTTTCAATATTGTTTATTTAGTTGGCCCGCTAATCCAAGGCCCGCCAGCACTGCCCGGCCAACATTCTGCTGGCCAAAAGCCAAACAGAGGGGCCGAGATGGCAGGCTTTATCTATTATAAAGTGTGGGGCCAGCAACATCATAATTCGATTGCAAACACATTTTAAGAGCAGTGGATCCAGCAGATGAGCGGTCGAAAAACACTCGACATGGCACAGACAATCTTCACTCATCGCCCGATGAAATGGAATGGCTGACAAATCCAATTAGGCGGACACCCGGACTTGACACCCGCTAAATGCCGTGATTGATCCTATATGCTGACATGATTGCCGATGAAATCCCCCAACCACCTAAGTGGTTTTCGGTGGCGTATACTTAATGACGGGCCATCAGCGGCCAAACTCACCGAATTCAAGTAGACATTGCCGCCGAAGGAGCTCATGTTAAGGATAATGCCGTAGTAGACCAGATTCATGGTGAACCAGATGCAGAGGAAGCAGATGGAGATGCGCCTCAGGTAGCTGGACCGGAACAGGTAGGTGAAGTCCTGGGAGCTGCTCTCCTGCGTAGGTGGCGTCAGTTGGTAGTCGGCGGGCAGCTGCCGGCCGTTGAATTTGGCTGCCGCCTCGATTATCCGCCGCACCTCGTCGATCCGGCCCTTGACGAGCAGCCAGCGCGGAGATTCCGGCACCACAAACCTGCCGGATACAGAGCACCAATTTAAAATCGCATCCAAACAAAAATATATAGCCTATAGAACATGTGCCGCTTCGGCATCATTTTTCATGTTCGCTCTGTTTATAGTGAGAGGTGGGGACTCCCACGCACTGTTTTCATATTTATTCACAAGTCTGTGATATATGTATGTTCGGGCACTCGTGCTGGGTTGGATTTGTTTACCTTATAGATCTATCAGAGTCTTACCAGAGAAAGCAAAGGAAGATACCGGGAATTCCGATGCAGAGCTGCAGGCGCTGGTAGTCCTGCGTTAGATAAGCCAGGCCAGAGATAATCATGTAGGAGATTGGCAGTGGAAACAGGTTGTACATTCCGGCAATGGTTCGCCACTTTCCGTCCACGTACTCGATGGCCAGGATCAGACCGGAGTAGGTCACCGATACTGAAACCAGGCCCAACAGAGCACGGAGCGTGAGATACAGCTCAAAGGAGCTACAGATATACAGCCAGAGACCTGGAATAAAGGATATGCTATTAAGACTTATTCTAAAATAAGAGAACTAGGGGTAATACTAGGACAGTAATAATACTAGTATTACTAATAATACTAGTAATACTAATACTACTACTAGGTAATACTAGGACTAGGACATAAGAAAAATAAGCAAAAAAAAATGTACAAAAAAAAAACTAAATTCACATTTTTCTGGCCTGCTTAAGTGCAACCTATGAGAATCGAGGAGGAGGGAGCTATTTTTTAATTATTTATAAAAAATAATTTTATTGAACAGTTAATAAATTAAAGCACTTTTTTGATTGTTATACGCAAAATAACGGTAACATTTTTCTCTTCATTACTTTTAGACTGCTAAGCGCCCTTGAAAATAGGCAATGGAGATATGATGGTTTACCTTTTCCAAATTTATAATTTATAAAAAAAATAGTTTTCCTTCAGTAATTGCACAAGAATTAAGTTAATTAAAGAAGTATAGGATATAGTCTACCGATAGCAACCGTTAGCTTTAAAATTGAGCGGCTAGATTGCGTAGAAACAGACAGAGGGACCGACGGACATGCTTATATCGACTCAGGAGATGATCGTGATCAAGATTTTATATACTTTATAGTATAGTTACTCCTAACTTTAATATTATACTTTAAAACTATCTATAAAAAGGAACCTCTTTATCTGCGTTTTATCGCAAAATATATAGCCATAAACAAGATAGCACTTTAAGAGCTTAAAGGACTTTCCCTGGCAATCCCATCTCAGTCGGAGCAATCCCCGATGTAATGCCGCATTGCAATCAACACGCACACGTGCCTGTCCTCAGATGCAATCCCTCATTAGTAATGTCCTTTTGAATGCAAATTTCAATTATACATTGTGAGAGATTTAATCAACAAGGCCAACAAGACTGGCAAGAGCCTGGCAGCCACAACGACAACTCGAGTGTCCACCCAGCAGCCCCACCACCCAGAACGTAGTACACAGTTCGCAGTAGCTAACCACCTGACCCCCGACAGTAACCACTCGATGCGCTCGTGTTGACCCCCGACATGGCCAAGTTCACTGTCGACAGGGGAGGACACCGTCAGGGCCAATGTCGCTCTGACTTCCGCATGCCTGAGAGCGTCCTTTATGCAGTCGGAGGTTCAATGGAAAGGCAACGTGAAAGGAGGAGCAAGGACACTCACCGAATATGGTCTGTAACACGGCCGATATGAAGAGCATGGTCTTTCGGCCGAACTTGTCCGATAAATAGCCGGATATGATGCCACCTGTTGCCACGCCCAGCAGGAAGAACATCTCGGCCACCTGCTTCAGGTGCTCCTTGTCGCACACCAGGTCCCACTCCGATGTCCAGGTGTTGCCCACATTGTCGTGCGTCTCGTACTCCCAGTTCTCGCAGGCCACCATCTTTCCATTTCCATCCTGGGGCAACTGAAAGTGAAGGCGTTATAAAGTTTAAGAATATATAGAGGATTTAATATATTTAATTTACCTCCCACTGCGAAGTAGTTTCATTGCTCAACCGACTCCAGTCGATCCCATCCCGGCGATGGCAGTTGTCGGCCGATCCACTCAGATTCCTCCACACATCCACCGGCATCTGCTGGAGCTGCGGCGGCCTTTGGCACCAAAAGTCCTTGTTGGCCGCCTGGTAGACGGACGAGGATATGTGAAAGGTGTTCGGGACCTGGAAGAGCGACAGCAGCACCGTCATCAGCAGCTGCCATTTGCCGTAGTGGCCCATCAGGTCGCCAATTATGTCGGTCTCGTCCTCATCGTCCGCCGGATCCAGACCGCTTGCCGCCGCCGCCGCTGCCGGGGACTGAGGCCGGGCTGCCTGCTGTGTGGGCGGGATGGTGGGGCTGGTGGGTTTGGTGTTGGTGGGGGACGGTTTGCCGGTGTCGTGCATGATGCACAAAGGAACTGTAAAAAGGATATTAAATTAATGTTTAGTTTTTACAACATAATAAATGCTTTCTTGAGATAGTGCGACATAAAAATATTAAAATATCAAGGACATAAAATATTCCCATCAAGGAAAGGAGTTCAATTGCTAGAGTCTCCATCACTTTAAGAAAAATAACATATCCTAGATGCAGATTGGCAGCACTTGGAAGGAGGGTAACATGCAAATAATTGACCTGACCACCGCGGGCACTGGAATTAATTTTATTGCTCGTGTCAGGAGCACACAAAGGAGCAATTAGTTAAGTGGTCAGTGACTGGCCATAAACCAACTCGGAGTCAATGCCAAAAGCCTCTCAGAAACAGTCCGACTGCAGTGAAGTCAAGTCAAGCGGTTCTATTTCATTTATTAGGGCGAAATCCCGCACTCCGACCTGCCCCGTCTCTGCCCAGACCGGGTGTCCCTTCAAGGATGCCTGTGTCCGGTCATTGGTCAACCTGCGTTCGATGGAATTCAATCACGTTGGAGGCGATTAACTACAGCAGCCGGAGGCAAAAGTTGGTTTGCTGAACATCCACAACTGAGAGCCGAGCTCTACAAAGTAAAAGAATAATAGCCAAGATTTAATGTAATTGCGTCGGGGTGGGCGGAGGCGAAGGCGGAGGCTGAGGCTGAGGCAGACGCTGTGCTCCTGCCACTTTCGTGTCCTTCTGCTCAGTTTGCTAGTTGAACTTTTTTTCTTCCCTTCCATGTTGTATCCTTTCTCTGCCCTTTTCATTTGTGGCCAGCGGGGCTTTTGTAGCGCATTGGCTTTGTCTGGGATTTGGCTCGAATGGGTCCACATACAAATACTATATATGACCCCCTGGGCACTGGCCACTGGACTAGTTCCCCCCAAGTAGCTGAAAGGTATCAATGCCCAAAAGTAGGCAACGAACTAGCCAACTTTTCCGCACTTGAAGCTTTGCTTTCGGCTTACTGGGACTTTAGTTGGCCGACTTAAATGCCTAATCCTTTTCGCTTCATTTGCCAGTTACCTATAATTAAGTGAAATTAAACAATTTAGGAATCACGCAGGGGGAATCTAATTTGGAGCTCGTGTGGAGAATATTAAGCAAAGATTCTACTTGAATCATTCATTCTAATCATTTGTGTGTTTAATTTAATGAGGAAGAAGGTTTAGTGTTCATATTATCTGTAAAATGATGCAGTGTCGAATAAAAATTTATTTTTAAACGACTGACCATTATCTGGAAAGGGCCACGACATCCCATGAATCAGAAATAGTCTCTCATATCAATCAACAAAGCCTACATCTATGGCCGAGAGTTAAATTTGCGTATGTCCGAGTGCCGGGTGTGTGGGGCGTGTCTAAGCCCCCGGAAGAGATATTCAATTTAGAGAGGGGTTTTGAGGTATGTGGCTGCAGCACTCTCGCCGCAGCCATGTGGCAGCAGCAGCAGTAGTGGCAGTGGCAGTAAAATTCACGCCATACGCCGCACGTGATAAGCAGTTGAGCGCACATTTTCACGCACTTGTAAACAGGAATAAGCGAAGCGTGCCCGCAGAAAGCCGGGGGCCAGGAACGCACAGCCCACATTTTACACCCGTTCAGATGCCAGGACTGCTGGCAGGATAATTAATTATCAATTTTATAGACACCCCCCGTTGGGTTGAAGGGGGAAAAGTTGAGCTTAGCTTTTGGTCAGCGGAGTTTGCCACGAGCTGTTGCAAGCTACTGCGAAGGTCGCTGCCACGTCGTGTGGGCTCAACGGCTCAATTTCAATGCTATAAACTACGTAGTCGCATCGCATCGCCGTTTACCTTCAACTCGCCGCGGCGCACATGGCGTATGTGCAATATCATGGCACGCTGAAAATAACGCTAATTGCATTCTGCAGCTGTTGTCGGCCTGGCCACATCCACACCCGCCCCCTAGTCCAGCTCCCGGTGGACCCCTTTCTCTGGTATTATAATTGCTGGCAAGATCAAGCCATTTGACAAATAGTTGGGTTTCTGGTTGCCAGATTAAATTAAATTGGAATAAAAGGTAAGAAATATACTAAGGTTTACTGAGCAGTTTATTAATTAAAACTAATATTAAGCACTTTCTATAAAGGTGTGTTTGACCATTAATTAAATTATAGTTTAATGTATTCTATAGAATTATAATAACTTATTCAAGCAAAATGTAAGAGGCAATCTATCCATCCATAAAAGTAGAACTGGTCTTTGACGCAATTACCCCTCGATCTATATAGATTGCGGTTTTATTTTATTTATATCATGGTGCTGTTACCCCATTGTACTAACCAAGACTCCACTCCACTCATTTTCACACTTGATGCAAATGAAGCTGCATTGGCCCATGTCCAATTGGTAATTACGTTTACATGGCAGTCATAAACAACAAATTATAATTCCATGCACGATCATAAAACACTGCCAGCTCTCCCCACCCTCCCAGCTGAGATGCCCAGATCTGCCCATTCCCAGGGAGACACGGCTCTAAATGCGGATGCGTCTCCGTGGGTGCGATCTCTTGACACGCTCCGCCAGCGCCAGAGCGCTTCAATTGAACACGATCCACAGAAGCCCCTCTAATAATGATTTGTTTCAATTGAAAAGTCAATGCCAGAGCTCTCTCCCAATGCCCATTAATAATTTGCTTAGCTTCCACGGATGGTTAATTAAAAAATAGCAACAATTATAGGCAAACATAACAAATTCAGCACCAAAGTGTGAAAGAAAGAGCAAAGCTTTCTTATTGTTCCCAATTTGCATGAATATAAGCGAAATTCCTCATGCCGGTCATCAAATATTATTGAATAATTAATTTAATTAACCCAGAGTGTGTGCGGGAACGGAGTTTCCCTCAATTTTTAATATGGTTTTATTTTTCACACATACATGTTTAAAATACATTGTTTTTATCTGTCTGGATATCTTAATATATCTATATATATGTCTCTTTATAAAAAAATGTATGGGGTACCATAACGAATTTCCTAAAATGACAAATCATGGGAAGTAATAATTAGCGTTAAATTATTTAGTTTTTTGAAAAGGTTCAGTCTTATGTTTAAAGAACACTTCGTAAGAATTTAAAGCAAACTCAGCAAATCCCAAATAATGACAAATCATGGGAGGGGTTTCCCCAGGCAGTTGCCTAATAATCAAAAATGAGAAAGAAATGAGAAATCGCATAAGCGTCATAATCACAAAAGCCGAAATGGGCTAAATATTTTTAATACAAAGGCAACCGTTTAGCTCTCGGGAGATCAGACGGCGACGGTTTGGGAGGATGGCGCGCAAATTGTCGCTGTAATTAGCCGTCATGCATATAAAAGTGCATTCACTTTCATGCCATGGTAGCGACAGAGGAGAGAAATGAATAAAAGTGGATGGTTGGCGGTGGCTAGGGAGGTGGGTGGTGGAAAATGTGCAATGATAATGATGACGCCTGCATCTGAATCTGCATTTGTATAAGCATGGCTCGGTGACGTTGCCAGCTAATTTGCACATTTATAGGATTTGATTTGTTTATTATGCATGCCGCCTCGACGGCGGAGGAGGCGGAGTGCTGCCAAGTGGGTAATAGTAATCTTGAGACACTTGCACGCAGCAACGAGCTGCGCTTCCGCTGCACCGACAAGTGCCCTCAGTGCGGATGAGCGATGTGCGATGCGAGATGACTTTGCCGGAGAGCCGAAGAAGAAGCTGTGCCAAAAGGGGCCGGAGCTGAAAAGTGGCGGTATAATATCCCGCCGGATGACGGCTCGCCTCAGTTTCTGCCTCACTTCATCACTTGTCAGACTAATTGCAGCTGTGTGACAGCCGCTTTCAGATAAGTAACGGCCGACGGGGCGTATGCGCAATGTTTTGTAAATTGCATTTCATTTGGCCCATGCGGCGTTTTGGGCATTCGTTTGCGTTTTCCTTTGCAAATAATGGTCATTCAAATTGAATTACTAAATTCAATTCCAGCCCCGCCACGCACAATGACCATTATAAACAATTCAACTTTAACTTTCCATATCGATGCCATACGATTTGCGCACGAACGTGCTCGGTGCGCGTCCTCGGCTCGATCTTTTGTTTGGGCCAAAATTTACGATTTCACGCCTTGCAATTAACACAATTGATTTTGGCAACGGGTAAACAAATTCGAAAACGAATTCATAAACAACACGGATTCAAGCTCCCGCCGTAATATCGCCTTCGGTTTGCCGGTCAGTTGAGCCAGAAAACTAATGCGACTAATTGCCGAGTAAATCAGCCAATAAACGATCAAAATTTGTTCTCAATTTTACGGCTGTATGCCAGAGCCAAACAAAGTCAAAGAAAATACACGAATCGAATCGCCAAAGGCGTCTAATTTTAGGGAAAATAAATCTTAAAAGAAAACAAGCCACGAGCAAACTATTCATGTTTTATATCTTTTCCATAAAGGAAAGTTTTTCCAGATACCTCTTATTAGTCTTAGGGACTTAATATTCTTCATAGAACTATCTAAAACCAAGGAATCAACTCACATTACATAATGTATCTGAACGAATGAGCAATAAAAGTAACATAAATTCCGGGAAAATCAAGCAAGGACATCTTTAGAAAAAGCGGTTGTCAGCAATTTTCATATCAATGCGAGAACACATTTGGCAACCTTATAAGCCCCTCCAAAAAGCCACAAAACCCCTCTGTGTACCAGATTCGCACACATTTGATTGCCACAAATTGGAGGCAGCTTGACAATTTTGTGTGATCGGATTCCATAAAATGGCAAATTTTCACAAAATTTCAAATGCCAAAATCATTACAATGAAGTGGGTACCCACTTCACCATTAAATGGTGGGCTCCCCGCCCACACATCCTTATGGATCAAATCAATTCGAATCAATTGAAAAGGCAGCCACAAAGCATTTGAAACTGGGATTGGATGGGCGGGTCCCTCATTCACATGCGTGTGTGTTTGTTTGTCAATATATTATGCAAATTTTTGCTACCTTTAGGTAGGAG